GGGGGGCGGGGCGGGGCGGGGCAGGGCGGGGCGGCAGCGGGACCAGGCGTTGACGCACAGATGCTCTCTTCTCTTTTCCAGGCCCCCTCCGATTCCGTCACCCTCGACCCGTGGACAGCTGGGACGTGACGGGCCACGAAATCTACAACGCCACGACGCAGCCCAACTCGTGCGTCCAGATCATCGACACGCTCTTCGGGGACTTCCCCGGCGCCACCATGTGGAACCCCAACACGCCGCTCAACGAGGACTGCCTGTACGTGTCGGTGTACGCGCCCCGGCCGCGGCCCCGCAACGCCGCCGTCATGGTCTGGGTGTTCGGCGGCGGCTTCTACTCGGGCACCTCCACCCTAGACGTGTACGACCCCAAGATCCTGGTGTCCGAGGAGCGAGTCATTGTGGTCAGTACTATGCGCAGCTCCTGAGAATAATTTTCTACTTTTCTGAGAACGAGACCGCATTCAATATCAATATCTTTTCTCTTTTCCCTCCTCTGCAGGTGAGCATGCAGTACCGAGTGGCCTCGCTGGGCTTCCTCTTCTTCGACACGACGGACGTGCCGGGCAACGCCGGCCTCTTCGACCAGCTGATGGCGCTGCAGTGGGTGCACGACAACATCCACGCGTTCGGCGGCAACCCCAACAACATCACGCTGTTCGGCGAGTCATCCGGCGCCGTGGCCGTGAGCATCCACCTGCTGTCGCCGCTCAGCCGCAACCTGTTCAGCCAGGCCATCATGGAGTCGGGCTCGCCCACCGCGCCCTGGGCCATCATATCCCGCGAGGAGTCCATCCTGCGCGGGCTGCGCCTGGCCGAGGCCGTGGGCTGCCCCAACCCGACGCGCGGCAACTTGCCGGCCGTGATCCGTTGCCTACGCAACACGACCGCCTCCGAGCTCGTCGAGAAGGAGTGGGGCACCCTGGGCATCTGTGAGTTCCCCTTCGTGCCCGTCATCGACGGCTCGTTCCTCGACGAGATGCCGCAGAAGTCGCTGGCCACGCGCAACTTCAAGAAGACCAACATCCTGATGGGCAGCAACACGGAGGAGGGATACTACTTCATCCTGTACTACCTGACGGAGCTGTTCCGCAAGGAGGAGGACGTGTACGTCAGCAGGGACGACTTCCTGATGGCGGTGCGGGAGCTCAACCCCTACGTCAACCCAGTAGCCAGGCAGGCCATCGTCTTCGAGTACACCGACTGGCTCAACCCGGACGACTCGACGCGCAACCGGGACGCGCTCGACAAGATGGTGGGCGACTACCACTTCACGTGCAACGTCAACGAGTTCGCGCACCGCTACGCCGAGACGGGCAACAACGTGTACATGTACTACTTCAAGCACCGGTCGATCAACAACCCCTGGCCCTCGTGGACCGGCGTCATGCACGCCGACGAGATCAACTACGTGTTCGGCGAGGCGCTCAACCCCGCGCTCAAGTACCACCCGCTCGAGGTGGAGCTGAGCAAGCGTATGATGCGCTACTGGGCCAACTTCGCCAAGACCGGGTGAGTCACGGGAGGGAGGAAGCGGAGGCGGAAGCGGCGGAAGTAGGAGCAGACGCCGCCGTTTGTCAAGGAATGAGCCGCATAATCGCGCAGTGCAGCGGGGCGCGCTGGCTGGGGGCCGCACGTGTCCACGAGGTCAGGTGGCCGCTGGCTGGACCTGATCCTGGTCTTGGGGTGAATTAGTGGCAAGTTGGCCACAAGGCTCGCCACCGGGCCGGGCTGGGGGGACCAGCGGGCCCGATCTTACAAGCTTAGTGAACTTCCGCGCGCGTAAGCGTCCGCGGCAGTACCCCGGGGCTTAGCGTCGAGGGGCAGGTGAGCGGAGGAGCCACCCCGGGCTGCGGTCAGTCGGGCCTGCAGGCCCTGCAGGCCCTGCAGGTGGCAGCTGCTGGCCCGCCCCAGGAAGGTGCTGGGCAAAGCCACTGCCGCCGAAGTGCCGGTGCGGAGCCGGCGGGCGCCGCCAAAGCCGGCTTGAGTAAAACTGCGCTGCGGCAGGGGCGCCGGTGCTTATGCCCGCCATATGCGTCTAGTCGCGAATGTGTGCCAGTGGGTCAGGCTTATATTGCACCCTCTACACCGTAAAAATATGCTCTCTCTCTCTCTCACTCTCTCACACACAAGCTCACTCTCTCCCTCTCCCCTCAGACTCACCGCCGCACATTTCCCCACACATCCCCCCCTCCCCCCTTTCTCGTTGTGCTCGTCTGTTTGCTCATTCCCTTCACTGCGCCCATTCGTCTGCCCCCC